TGAGGATACACCCTTCCAGATCTTTCTCTAAGTGTACACAAACAGCTTACACATGCCATGCTATTTGTTTCCCCACACCTTTGCTCATGCTGTCTGCACCCTCTTCCTGGAATGCCCTTTCTTTTCCCTTGCCAGGCTTACCTTTACACACACTTCTGAATTCAGCCCACTTTCTCCATCTGTCATCCCCCAGCCTGGACCAAGTGTCCCTCCCTGGGCTCCTAGAGCCCCTGCACAGCCTTATCAGAGCACCTACCACAGTGAATGGTCAAGTCCTTATTTATGTATCTGTCTCCCTCACTAGAATATAGGTTAATGGCCAAGAGGTGAGGACCGGGGAGGACCTCAGCCCCACCAGGAGCTCTGCTGACTGTCCTAGTCACTTGAGCATCCTCAGTGCCAGCACACTGCCTGGCACGTGCATGGCATTCAGTAGGTGTTTGTTGAATGAGCAAGTGAATGAATAAGTAGGTTCTGGGTCACAGCAGCTGTCCCTGCTATGGGACTTTTATGTACAGGTGGAGGACTACAGAGAGAGGCAACCACCCAAGAACAGAAGATCTCCATGTTGCCTGGTTCCAAGAGCTACCACTCATTAACTTACAGGGGCTTTGTAACTTTGGGGACGGTCTCCTCAGGATATTGTGAAGGTAAGACTTTATGGAGTGAGGTTTCCTCCCACCTCCTATAATGGCCACTCTCCCACTCCTACTTAGGAGGCAAAGCGCCCTTTTCCCTTAAGCCCAATGAAACAAAAGCGTTCAGGTCTCTAATACAGCTTGCCATGATGGGCTCCAAGGACAGAGCTCCAGATGTGTCAGTTGTGTGACCTTAGGCAGGTACCATAACTGCTCTGAGCCTCCTTCCACAACAGTAAAATTAGAATGCTACTGATTATACCTACCTCACAGGTTAGAGGAGACTAAATAAAAGACAAATGTTAGAGTGCTTTGTACATTTCACAGCTCTTTAGCCTCTCTCCCTCCCAGTGGAGTTCCCAGTGAGACCAGAGTGCTAGGCAATCGGGACTTTTAGCTCTGTCCCTGTCTCCTGAGGTGACCTTGGGCCGGACACTCCTTGTTTCCTCAACTGTAAAGTGGAGGTGGGAGGGGCTGTGGGACCTGCTGGCTCCTAAGACTCCTTCCAGCTCTAACGTTCTGTGTGCTCTGAAAAGTGAAGTAAAGTAAAATGCCCCAGGTCCTCATAGCCGGTCCATCTGGCTGTAAGCACAAAGGTCTCTGCCAGCGGCCAGCACTACCAGGGAGGGTCTCTTTCTTTCTCCAAAACCCCCAAATAGGAATTGTGAACACTGATTGGCAGGCCACCAACTGGAATGCCCCCAACCCTGAATTTCTGTGCTGGGCCACCCACCATGAGATCACCTGATACTATAAACTCCTCAGCTAGTTTCCAGGTCCCTAGAGAGGGATGGATTTGGGGATGGTTTGTGTGATGTGTCTTTTATTACATTTGACTTCTTTGGAATCTGATCATTTAAGCTGGGATCAAACAGGCAAGTCGTAGAGTTTGCACCTGGGGAGCATGGGGTCTAGGTGGGGAGAGGAGACTGACAGGTGACCCTGATTTGGGGAGCAATAGAAGAACTCCTTGCAGGCTAGAGTTTGCAGGCTTTGGGAGATGCTTAGGGTTTGGGTGTGTACAGGGAAGGTGTGAGGGTATCTGAGGAAGAGTGACGAGGCTGGGCCAGCTGAGGCTGAACAGGGGACGTCTAGTCAACAGAACGTGCATTTGACTGACCAAGCACTCATTTGATCCTCACGGGCACTCTGGAGGGGGGGATTATTAGTCCCACTTTACAGATGAAGAAACTGGGGCTCAGAAATGCCGGGAGGCTGCCCCAGCTCGCACCGCTAGTTAGCGGGCCAGGCCTCCCAACGCTAAATCCACCAGGCTGCCCAGAAGGCAGCTCCCCTTGGGTGCGGTGGGTTTGCACAGAGACTGACAGAATCAAGGGTGGATCGGGACTGTGGGACTGTGGTGAGGGTCCTGAGACCAATGGGGTGAAAGGGCGATGGTGGGGCGTTTGCTGCTCATCTGTGGGCTGGCGACCTGGAGGGGCAGTCAGGAAGCTCAGGAGCCTTGAGCTGGGCTGTCAGTTTCAGGGATCAGAATGACTCCAAAAGACAGAGAGGCAGAGACTGGAGGGATAACTGGACAGCCTTACAGGTCACCAAGGGGCCACTCGCTCCCCTTGCCCCATCCTCCCCCATCACCCAGCAACCAGACTTCATCAACTAGGCAGCCAGTCTCTGCCCCGTCATTGCCCTGGGATGGAGGAAAACCTCTGTTGCTGCAGAAGCTGCACAGCATTTCTTCTCCTCTGGGGGCTTTCCTGCTCCTCTCTCCTCTGGCTTCCTGATGCTCTGGGACCTGAGTTGGGGGCTGGTGCGAGAGGGTTTCTGTTTCCCAAGGTGGCCAGCTCCAAGATCCTGCTTCTATTTGGCCCCCAGCTCGCCATCTGCCTCTTGCCTGGCATGGGCAGCAAGACTAGGTCTCTGCCTCCTTGTAGGAGCTGTCCACCTCTCATTCGACCCTTTGGTCTCCTGGGGAGATGGTCCATGAGCAGTATTCCTGGACCGTCAGCATCTGGGGGGCTTCCTAAAACGAAGCTGGTTGGGCGTCACCCTAGATCCTTGGAATCAGAATTTTTGAGGATGGGGCTTGGGAATCTGCATTCGAACAGGCTCCCTTGGGGGAGTTCTTAGGAATGGTAAAGGGAGAGAGCCGAGAGCCAGGGCATGCGATCATCACACTGTACCCTGCCAGGGAGGGACTCATCTCCCGGGATGCCGGGAAGGAGTCTGGGTTGGTGGCAGTTAGATAAGACCGGTTGAATGAGCAGAGTTTCAGAAACCCAGGCAGGGAGGCAATCCCCTGGCTGGAGGCCCTTGAAGCGGAAAATTGCTCTCACCTCCAGGTCCGTCCCCCCCGCACCCCAGGCTTCTTCACACAAGAGCTCTCTCCCTGGCAGAGCCAGCCAGGAACACTCAGGTTTGGGTCCAAGGAGGAAATTTGAGGAAGGCCTTGGAGATGGGCCAAGAGGAGAGCCAAGGAAGTGATGAAAGATATTTTTAGGATTACTTATTCCAGAGAAGGCCGAGGGGGCACCTTATCACCATCCAAGAACTTAGAGAGGCTTATTTATTAGACTCTTGACCCAGCAATCAGAGATTAAACGGCAGCTGAAAGGACTGAGGTGAGATGAGAGGAAGGGACCTGTGAGGTCCTGACACGGGTCCAGGAAGAGGCTGTGGAAGCTTCTATCCCAGTGTTTTTTGAGGACAGTTCATTCAGTCATTCCTCAGGTGTGTTTTGTTGTCTGCTGTATGCCTGGTACTTGCTTAGCATAGGGGGAAGCCACGAGCAAGGACTTGTCCCCCTGAGCTGGAGGTCGAGTGGAGAGTCCCTTCTGTTTGGAAAGCCTTTCTCCTTGTGGAGCGAGCTTGCCCAGGGCAGACTCCTGGGTGGCGGTGCCCCATTCCCCGCCAACTACCCCCGTGCTCCTGCAGGGAAACATCTAGAGAGTTGACTGCTTGCCAGTTTTCAGGCATGCCGCCACATTTCCACAGGGTCCTCCTTCCATATGACTAAAGACCTGTCGGTAGGCTGAGCAGCCCAGGCTGCCCTCACCTCTGACAGTCCTGTTGGGGAAATCTCCTGTCTCAGAACCAGTGCCCCTGGCCCAACTTGCCAGGCCTGTCAGGTACCCTCCCTGAGCCCCTGCGGCTGCCAGAGTCACCTGGGCACTGCTGTCCACCGCTGGGCATCTGGGCTCCCAGACACCCCTGGTGAGCGCTGGGCTCCATAGTTCAGCTTCCCTGGGGAGCCTGGTGAGATCAGGGGATTGCTTCTGCTTTGCTGTCCATCTCTCAATACATCAGCCATCCCACTATTTATCTTTCGAGGGTGTCTATAGCCCAGCACTGCTAAGAGGGTGAGAGGGACACAGGAGAAACCTCTGTCGCTGACTCATAGGGTGGCCAGGACTAATAGACATGAAGTAATGAGAGAATTTTATTCAAGTCCGAAACCACAAGGAAATGGGAGTAGAAACTGGGACACCTTAGGTCTTTGTCTAACTCCCTTTCCTGAATCACTGTTAACTTCTAGTAAGTTCTGGTTCCAGTGGAACCTCTCTAGGTTCTCCCTCTGTAAAATGGGAGGGTGATCCCTGTGCTTCCTTGAAACAAAGTGAGGGTGTGTACGGGGACAGACAGGAACAATGGCTTGTGTTTATGGAGAGCTTGTGAGGTGCTGGAAGCAGTTCTCAATACTTTGTATAGTTAACTCAACTAAGCTTCTTAACAACAACCTTGTGAGGTAGCACTGTGATTATTTCTGTTTTACAGAGGAGGAAACTGAGGCAAAGAGAAATGAAGAACTTGCCCATTAAGTGGCTGGATTCAGCCCCTGGCCCGTCTGACCAGGCTTCTCACTTACAGTAACTGGGAGAGTGAAAGGGCAGGTGGAAAAGCAGGGCCAGCTGGCTTTCAGACTCCAGGGTTGCCTCCCGAGGTTCCCAAGAGGTGCACCTGCCACCTTCAGACCTGGAAGCAGGACCCCGTGTCTCCAACCCAGCACATGTTCCTGGGTGACAGCTGGGTGCCAACCTGAAAAACTGCTCTGTTTCCTCTTGTGAGGCGGTCCCCTCACCCCGAGCCAAGGTCCTTCACATCCCTTCAAGTAACGCTCGTGTATCAACTCATTTGCCGTTTTCAGAGCATTCTCCCACTTCACCTTCCCAGTGTTATTCTTCCCATTTGCCAGATGAGGGGACTGAGGCTCTGGTGAGATCAGAGACTTGTACAGTGTCTCCTGGTTGGTGGACTCAGTCCAGTGCCCTTCACTAAATGGAGGAGTCTCCGTAGAAAGTACTGAGAGATTCTTGGTCCTTCCCTCCCCAGGCCCCTTTATGGGGCTAAAACACCATTTTAGTCAGAATTCTGAGGACTCAAGGACCAGGCATAGCCCACACTTGATTGAATTCACTCAATCATTCATTTATTCAGCCATATTTACTTGCCATGCTCTAAGAGCTGTGCCACATGAGGGCGCAATGATGAGCTGCCCTGGGGACCTCAGAGGTCTGGGTGATGGAGGGACAAGGGAAGCAGAGAGTGAGCAGGCAGTTATAATACCAGGTGCAAGTACTGAGGAAGGACACCTAAATTTGGGAAGCAGGGATGGCTTCCTGGAGGAGGTGATGAGGCAAAATCTAAGGTGAGACCAGATGGATGAATAAAACTAGCCCCCGAAAATTAGGCTGGGGAGAGGGAGGGAGGAATGTTCCAGGCAGAGGTAAAGCATCTGGGAGGGCCCAATGGCAAAGGAGCGCATGGTGCACCTGCTATGTCCTCAGCTCCACCCGAGTTTCTCTCGCCCCAGATCTTTCCATTTCCCAACTGCCTGTGACCCCTTTCACCCCCAGAAGGCCCAGCTCCCCACTTCCCCTCTGATGGGCAAGCCTGGGAGTGAGCACCATTGCGTCTGCCTGCCCACTGCCTTGCGCAGGGATGCCTGGTGTGAATGTGGATTATTTCCCTTTGGGGGTAACTGGAGAAGCAGCAGCAGGTGAGGCAGCGGGTATAGTATCGAGGAACATCCTGGCACTGGCTCTGTCCTGGAGACCCGTGGGAAGCCTTTGTCCCGATGGCCTGTAATGGGGTTTCAGGAGAGAGCTTCAATATTTGCAGCAAACAGTGGCACAAAGGATATGGAGGGCTATTGTGGACTCTCCAAAGAGGAGCTAATCCTCAGGCAAGCCTCCTGGGCCAGAAGGGGTTCAAGTGCTGGGCGGCTGCTGGGGGGTGTTGTCATTTATGAGCAATTGTAGGAGATAATAGCAGAGAGAGAGAGACAGTCTCTATACAGATGGAGGGAGGTGGTGAGAGGCACTCCCCACAGGGAAAGAAGGGGACAGCACCTGCCCTGAAAGCTCAGGGCACAGGTGATACTTCCCCACCCCCACCCATCTGAGCTCTGTGCTTCCTCCAGGCGTCCTGGGCTGCCTTGTCAGCTGTTCTTTGCCCAGGGGTCAGATGACTTTGGGGTGGGGGCTGTCAGCCAGGGCTCTCAGGCCTCTTTCTTCCCTTTCCTTCTCTCTAGCTCTCTCTCTGGGCCTCTTTTCGGTCCACTGCACATAGACAAGTCATTGCTTGGCTCCAGGGACCAAGGAAAGAAAACCAACTGTATTTGCATATAATTAGCATAAAGAAGCTCTATTTGCATAAGTCTATTTTAAGCTCCTCCCTCCTTCAAAATTTCCCCATCATCTCTGAATATGGTACATAAATGTGCTGTCCAGCCACTAGGACAAGGGATGTCTTGGGGGCTGGGGGTTGGTAAAGGCTTTTTTCTTAGGTCCCTTCCAGGGATGCCTTGTGGCCTGAGTGGAGGGAAACAGAACCAAAGTAAGGCTTTGTGATGACCTAGAGGGGTGGGATAGGGAGGGTGGGAGGGAGGCTCAAGGGGGGGCGGATATGGTGATATATGTATGCATATAGTTGATTCACTTTGTTGTACAGCAGAAACTAACACAACATTGTAAAGCAATTATACTCCAATGAAGATGTATTAAAAAAAAAAGAAAGAAATCGGCAGTCTGGGAGTGGGAGAGGTTGGAAAACTCAAACCTGCAAGCTTTGCATCAGCACCGGGGGTTCTGCCAGGATCCCCTCACCCCAGACACCTCCAGGGGTACAAAGAGCTGAGATTGGAAATAGAGGAGGAAATGTGCCAGTACACTGATTTACATTACAATTCGCATAATCTTGTGTAATTTGCATGGGTGAGGTTACTCAGTTGTCCAGAAATTTTCAAATTAGATCTTTTTGCTTCTTAAAATTCTTCCTTCTCGGAGTTTTCTTTCCTTTGCTTGTTGTCAGCTTCCTAAGATGTGGATCAGCTTCCTCTCCAGGAGGGAGAAGAGGACTGGGTAGGAGCATAGTAAAAGGGATGGGGTGGAGAAGACAGGCAGTGTAGACATCTGAACTGGAGAAAAGGGGTGGTGTAGACATCTGAGGCCTCTGCCAGGTCCCAGCAGTACCATCTCCCCTTTCTGTTGTCCCTACTCTGTGGGGATCTTCTTTCTACTCACAGATTCATGGGAGTAGAGCAGGGATGAGGCTGGGTTTGTCTGCCCATTTCCCAGAGGGCAGCCAAGGCTACACAATAAGAACCCAGAAGGCCCGACTCCCAGGCCACATTCTGGCCAAGACTGAACTGAATCTAGAAATCAACAGCCTTGCTCCTGGGGAGAAAGGGCTGGTTTTAAGAAGCATCCTCCAGACTGCTCCAGACAGCAGCAGATGGGTCCCCTCAGCCCTGGGGTTCTAGGCCACCTCTCTCTTCGGGGTAGGAAGAGAAAGGGGAAGAAACCTGATCCCTCTCACAGTGGAGCCCTGGAAATCTAGTGTTTTCCATTTACAGCCCATTATTAGTATACTGGATTGGCCAAAAAGCTCGTTTGGGTTTTCCCGTACACTCTTACGAAAAACCTGAACAAACTTTTTGGCTAACCTGGTATATAAGATAAAGGAGGCTGAATTCTGCTGAAGCTCAGGCGAAGGGAAACACCTGCAAAAATCATTTGCTGAACCACTGTCCCTACTCCCTGCCTATGTCTGCCTTCCCTGACCTCTTCTCCCCTCTGTCTCTTGTCTTCTAAACATGTTTTTAAAAAAACATTGTTATAATTACTATTCACAAACTCCAATGCTATTTAAACTACTACTACTACTAATATCTCTTCTAAAACATAATCACATTCAGATCACATTACTCTTCTGCCTGGGAGCCTCTGTTAGTCCCCATGCTCCTTTCCACAGTCTATGAAGCCCTGCACGGTGCAGATCCTGCCTTCCTTTCTTACTTCACCTCTTACCACTGTCCCCTTTCTCATGACTCTTCAGGCCCCTGGCTGCCCTACAGCTTGGAGAACATTCCTAGCTCATTCACACCTCAGCTTCTTTTCTTTGTTGGCTCTTCCTCCAAGGTCTTCTGAAAGCCAGATTCTTTTTTTTTTTTTTTTTTTTACATCTTTATTGGAGTATGATTGCTTTACAATGGTGTGTTAGCTTCTGCTTTATAACAAAGTGAATCAGTTATACATATACATACGTTCCCATATCTCTTCCCTCTTGCGTCTCCCTCCTTTTCATCGCTCAGGGCTCGGCTCTGCAGTCCTCTCCTCAGACAGGCCCTCTTTTGCCTCCCCACCTGGATAGGACTCCCAGAGTATCAAAGCTGTACCTCTCTTACTTATTTGATAACTTACCGGTTCTGTCTTCCATATGGGCAGATACCTCACCTGCCTCATCCATCTCCATGTCTCCAGCACATGGTAAAGCACCTAGAACATTGCAGGTGCTCATTAAATATTTGCTGTGTGATGGATAATAACACCCAGTGACAGACTGGGGTTGGTGACAGATCATAGATTTGGAGTCAGAGAGATGCAAGTTCGCATCCTGGTTTTGTCACTCCCTGGTGAATGGCCACGGGCAAGATACTCACCTCCCTGAGTCTCTGAGCCTCTTTCTGGGAACAGAGATAAGATATATTGAAGGTGAAGTGTGTGGCACTAGTAGGGGCTCATTAAATAGAGATTATTGATATGGATAATTACATCTTTGTTTCATACTTACTTTGCACATGAGTCTGTTCCTGCCCTCAAAAATTCAGTTTATTGAGAGACACAGTGACCTGCATGGCCAACTATGAAACAATGGTGAACATACTAAAACAGAGATATGAACCAAGTACCACAGGAACAGAGGAAATAACAACAAATTCCACAATCCCTGCATTGGAATAGCATTTTACAGTTTATGTACCATGTACACTTCTGTCATTTATTTGATTGGCTCCTAGACTGTTGGAGTAGGCAAGGCCTCAGCAGCTCCATTTTACAATAAGAGATCAGAGGCTCAAAGAGATGACGTCATTGGCCCATGGTCACACTATATCTCCTTGCCCTGCTATTTGTATTCCCCCAAAATTCATATGCTGAATCCTAATCCCCAAGTTGATGGTATTAGGAGGTGGACCCTTTGGGAGGTGATTAGGTCATGAGGGTGGAGCCTTCATGAATGGGATTAGTGTCCTTATAGAAGACACCCCAGAGAACAAGCTTGTCCCTTCCGCCCTGTGAGGACACGGTAGGAAGGTGGCCATCTGCAACCCACAAGAGGGTCCTTAGCAGAACCTGACCATACTGGCCCCCTGGTCTTGGACTTTCAGCCTCGAGAACTGTGAGAAATAAATTTCTGTTGTTTATTAGCCACCTAGTCTAGTATTCTGTTACAATAGCCTGAACAGCCTCAGACACTCACTCTACCTTCTTCCACTACACTCATTCCTCTGGACACCTTATGTGATTATCTGTGTATGTTCCATCTCCCAGGCTAGAATGCAAGCTCCATAACAGTCTGTTTTGCTCACTGCTCCATCCCTAGTTCCTAGAACAGTGCCTGACACATAGTAGTCACTCAGTAAATATGTATGGAATGAATGAATGGAAGATAGAAGAAAGAATTAGTGAAAGGCAGGTGTAGGCTTCAAACCTCTCAAGCAGGAGGCAGAATAGCTGGCTAAGAGCTCAGCTTCTGGAGCCTGACAGCCTGAGTTTAGATCTCAGCTTTGCCACATACTAGTGTGCAACCTGGACAAGGGATTTGACCTCTCTGTGCTTCAGTTTCCCCATCTGTCTAATGGGGATGATAATATAACACCTAGTTCATAGGATTGTTGTGAGGACTAAATGAGTTAACATTCATAAAGTGCTCAGAACAGTGCCTGGTACATAATAAGCCTCAAAATATATTTGGTAGCTTAAAAACAACCAACCAACGAAGGTATTTTGACTCCAAATCCAGCATTCTCTCTCTACACCATGTTATGTAGAGCTGTATAGTTTGCAAATGACTAACATATTCATGATTTTATTTTATCTTTCTATCATTTTTCTATCTTTCCCTGTGAAACGACCAACAAATAATGATCTAATAATTTTTCTGGCTGTGCTGCACGGCATGCAGGACCCTAGTTCCCTTTCCAGGGAAACTGTGCCCCCTGCAACGGAAGCACAGGGTCTTAACCACTGGACCACCAGGGAAGTCCTCAAGAAATAATTATTGTCCCCATTTTACAGAGGAGAAAACTGAGGCTAGGCACAATGGCTCAAGGCCACACAAAAGCTTGGTTAAAATAACCTGACTTCAAATCAATGATTCTGTCCATGATTCCACAGGTAACTCTCTCCCCTAGATCTAGCCTGAAACAGGAAAAAAAACAAAATAAAATCAGAGACTGGCAGAGATTCTCAGAAGCCCTAAAAACATCAGTCTCTCCCATTTTCAGGATTTGGAAATCCATTTAATTTTTTCCAATCATGGGCTGTCATTGTATACAAAACAAATGTTGCTGAGACTTTAAGGGCAAGGAAATCTCCCACAGATTCAAGAGTGATGGATCCAAGGCTGCAAACGTCTGGGGAGCTCCCTGTTGACCAAAGCCCTCTCCTCCCCAAAAGCAGCTCTTATGGGCCCAGAACTGTGCCAGGTGCGTGGCATAGGGAGAATGCAGTGAGTTCTTCCCAAAGGTCCTCTCTTTGGTCCAGATTGGAGGGTGGAGACAGAATCTTCCTGGGGCTAGGCTTGTCAGCTGCCTGCTTTCAGATGCCTTGGGTAGGCGTGAGAATTGGATTTTGTTTTAAGTGACCACAATGCTAACCAGGCAACTTGAGTCCCAGAAGTCACTGAGGGGAGAAGATGTGGAGGTACAAATAGGATGAATGAGATTTTTTGTTTGTTCCCTCACTTGTTTATTCATTGCATCCTCATTTATTGTGCCCTTAACCTACAATGGTGATCCCAGAATCCTATGTCTTTATTCACTTTATTATTTAAATAAGAGATTTAAACCAACACCCTTGCAATTCTTCCTGATCCAGTAATAACCACCATTTATTAAGCATCTACTACGAGCAGGCATAGCACATGCATAACCCTTCAAGGTAAGCATTATTATCCCCACATACAGATGAGACCATGGAAGCTCTGAGAGGTCAGGTGACAGGCCCAAGGTCACACAGCTAAGAAAAGAAGGTCAGGATTCAAACCCAGGTGGGCCTGACGCCAAAGCTCAGGCTGTGGTTGAAATTTTAAAATTTGAATACTTGAGTCATTAAAAAGAATGCCTGTAACATACATCTAAGAAGCAAGGTGTAATAATAAAATGACTGCCTGTGGCTCCACAACTCTATGGAGAAATAGAACATTCCCAGCATCGTCCAGGTGCCTTGTGTGTCTGGCCCCTATTGCATCCCTCTGCTTCCCCCCACTTCGACCCCCAATCAAGGTAACCATTGTCTAAATTTGGGGTCCATTAGTCCGTTGTTTGCATGCCTTTTGTTGCTTTATGTTGTTTTACCACATGCATTTGTGATAAATAAGTATGAAGATAAACCGTTTAGTTTTGAACTTTACATAAATGGTTTACAGTATGTCTTCTATGGCTTGCTATCTTCTATAAACTTCTAAGATTCACCCAGTTGATATATGTGGCTTTATTTATTTCCACTGCTGTGAAATTCCATTGTTTGAATATACCACATTTTATTTATCCAATTTCCTGTAGGACGTCTAGGTCATTTCTAGTTTCTTTCTTTCTTTAAAAATTTTTTTGCTATTACAAACAATACTACAAAGAAAATTCTCTTTTTTAAATTGAAATATAGTTGGAACTTCCCTGGTGGTCCAGTGGTTAAGAATCCGCCTTCCAATGCAGGGGACATGGGTTCAATCCCTGGTTGGAGAACTAAGATCCCCCATGCCGTGGGGCAGCTAAGCCCGCACACCGCAACTACTGAGCCCAGGTTCTCTGGAGCCTGCGTGCCACAACTGGAGAGCCTGCACACTGCAACTACTGAGCCTGCGTGCCACAACTAGAGAGAAGCCTGTGCGCCACAACTAGAGAGAAGCCTGCACTCCACAACGAAAGATCCCACGTGCTGCAACTAAGACCCGATGCAGACAAAAACAAAATGAATAAATAAATATTAAAAAAAATAAGTTGACGTATAGTTGATTTACAATATTGTGTTAGTTTCAGCTGTACAGCAAAGTGATTTGGTTATATATGTGTATGTATATATCTATATCTCTCTATCTATCTATATATATATTATTCTTTTCCATTATAGGTTATTACAGGATATTGAATGTAGTTCTCTGTGCTATACAGTAAACCCTTGTTGTTTATCTATTTTATATATAGTGATATGTATCTGTTAATCCCATATTAATTTATCCCTCCCCCTCCCCTTCCATCTTTGGTAACCATAAGTTTGTTTTCTATGTCTGTGAGTCTGTTTCTGTTTTGTAATTAAGTTCTCTTGTACTATTTTTTAGATTCCACATACAAGTGATATCATATAGTATTTGTTTTTCTCTGTCTGACTTACTTCACTTAGTATGATAATCTCTAGTCCATCCATGTTGCTGCAGTTGGCATTATTTCACTCTTTTTTTAATGGCTGAGTAATATTCCATTGTATATATATATATATATATACCACATCTTCTTTATCCATTCATCTGTTGATGGACACTTAGGTTGCTTCCATGTCTTGGCTATTGTAAATAGTGCTGTTACGAACTTTGGGGTGCATGTATCTTTTCCAATTATGTTTTTTACAGGATATATGCCCAGGAGTGGGATTGCTGGATCATATGGTAACTCTATTTCTAGTTTTTTAAGGATCCTCCATACTGTTCTCCATAACGGCTGCACCAATTTACATTCCCACCAACAATGTAAGAGGGTTCCTTTTTCTCCACACCCTCCCCAGCATTTATTATTTGTAGACTTCTTAATCATGGTCATTCTGACTGGAGTGAGGTGATACCTCATTGTAGTTTTGATTTGCATTTCTCTGATAATTAGCGATGTTGAGGATATTTTATGTGCCTGTTGGCCATATGTTATGTTATGTCCTCTTTGGAGAAATGTCCATTTAGGTCTTCTGCCCATTTTGTGATTGGGTCATTTGTTTTTTTGATATTGAGCTGTATGAACTGTTTGTATATTTTGGAAATTAAGCCTTCTTGTCTCTTCATTTGCAAATATTTTCTCCCATTCCACAGGTTGCCTTTTCATTTTGTTTATGGTTTCCTTTGCTGTGCAAAAGCTTATAAGTTTGATTAGGTCCCATTTGTTTAGTTTTGCTTTTATGTCTTTTGCCTTGGGAGACTGACTAAGAAAATATTGCTATGATTTATGTCAGAGAATGTTTGCCTATGTTCTCTCCTAGGAGCTTTATAGTGTCGTGTCTTATATTTAAGTCTTTAA